CTGCTGCTGCCGCTGCTGCAGGTGCGCGCGGGGCCGGGGCGTCCCCGGCGGCGTCCCCGGCCGCTGTCGCGACATGTCGCTCTCCTCCCCCTCACCTAGGGTCCCGACATGCCGCTGTCGCGACTGCGCAGAGCCATCGAGGAGTGCTGCCCGCACCTGGCCGCCTCCGTGCACATCAGGTGGGCGCCTCGCGGCTCCCGCGGGCGCGGGAGGTCACGGGCTCAGCTTAAAGTCACGGCCAGAGTCGTCCCCCTCGGAGCTGGCCCGGCGCGGGGCTGCGCTGCCGTTAGCGGCCTCGGGCGCTGGTGCTAAAACCTGCTGGGTTTGAAACAGCATCAGAGCATCAGCCCTTTCTCTTTACTCTCTATCGAGCGAACCGTTTGAGAAAGAAAAAAGGCATTATTTACTATATCATGCTTGTTATTTATGCAATTGTTGAACACACTCTTCTATTCACAAATGTATGTACCTTTAGCATAATGACCTAGCTGCCACTTCTGGCTGCATTTTTTTCAGCCATACCTGAAAATGGAGGAGTGTTTATTTGCTGTGTCATATTAGAGCCCTAAATAAAGGTGGTTTTTTTTCCTCCTTCCCACTTAGGTTGAAACTTATGGCAGAGGGAGAGCTGAAAGATATGGAACAGTTTTTTGATGACCTTTCAGATTTGTTTACTGGGACAGAGCCAGAAGTTCATAAAACCAGTGTAGTAGGTAAATAGTTATTATTGATAAGCTGTATTTGATGTGATAACTAATATTGATATAATTCACTCAAGGTAAAGATTTGTTTTTCTTTTAGGGGAGTACCAGGGACATATGTTTCATAATATAATTTTCCCTTGCTTAAGTGTAATTCTCACTGTAATTCTCACTGATCTTAACAACAGTGCTGCGATCAGAGAATCTCAGATTTGCCACTTATTTTCAGGCTGACGGACACTCTAGAAAGTGAATTTTATCAATCAGGAGGTTAACATGAGGTCCTTGAGCAAAACTGAGTAATGCAGTTTAACCTTCTAGGTATTATAGTATTTCCAGTCTCCTCTCTGAACCAAGAGCTTCTCGGATACCTGTGCTAACAGATGTTTTCCTTTGCAGGTCTCTTTCTGCGCCATATGATCCTGGCATACAATAAACTTTCTTTCAGTCAGGTCTATAAACTTTACACTGCACTTCAGCAGTACTTTCAAAGTGATGAGAAGAAAGATGGAATTGATGAGAGTGACATGGAGCTGACAAATACAGAGGAACTGGAGGGGAGAATGGAGAAAGAAGAACTTGATGCACCGCTCAGGTGATGTATTAGTATACAAGACTTTACCACTCTTTAAGAGATTTCTCAGTTAATCTTGCTTCAGATTACCCCTGTACCTATGAACGTAAACTGAAATTTTCCAGAGTCTGCTCTTGCAGTAGTCTGATTTTGTAGTTGCTGTAAGCTGGAATTTCTGTTTGTTTTACCTTATGTAGGGATCACAGAGGATTTTTTTTTTATATCAATCTTGTTAACTTGCAGATACTCAACCTAGAAGGCAGTTCAGAAATACTCTAGCTATTCCTTAAGAACATATGAATTACAGATAACATTGAAATGGTAGAACTTTGTGTTTCTTGGGGAAGGAATGAGAAGGTCCTGTCACCTTTGGCTTCAAAAACCTCTGCCTTTGTGGTGATGATAAAACACGCTGAATCCGCACGCGTGGAGCCGGGTGGCCTCGCCGCTTCCGTGGTGCCACCACGTGGTGAGACTTGTAAATGGCACCAGTTTGTGCTCCGTGTCCTGCAGAAGATGGCGGTGCCCCATCCTCATGCTCCCTTAGGGAATCGCAGTCCAGGGTTCCCTTCCATGGTTTCTTCTCTGGTTGCACTCTGGTTGTGCTCACCTCTGCTTCCAGCAAGGAAAGATTCCCCTCCAAGGAAAAGTGAAGCTTAACGTTTATGCTTTCACCCTTCTCCAAACAGAACTCACATTTGTTTATATTAAAGATGAGAAGCAATTACTGAGACTTTTAACCCACTAAAGAGATGTTTCACCATAGGAATTATACTAAAAATATTTTATATATCTCTATATTTACTCTGTATTTTCTGTCACCCTAAATCTGCTGTTTCTCTTAACATTCCTTTGTATATGTAGGATAACATTCGTGTATGTAGGATAACACTCATGCTGGCCACAGTCTCTGCAGGCTGAAGGTTTTCATTCAGGCCTGGTTTTATAATGGCTGATCCATCAGAACAACATCCATTTTCCTTCAGTTGTAGCTGTATAAGTGTGTGAACTGTGTGGGGTCATGCAGGCTGCTAGCTTTGGTGTAGTACATTTTATTCTTTATTAGAGTTCAACACCTTGAAGCAGAAAATGTAATATGTCATGAAGCTTTATAAAGCAAAAGCTGGAGTTTTGGGTAAAATCTATTTTCTTGTACTCAATTTCATTGCCCTTGTTTCTAACCACAGTGTTTCTTAGCAGGGAAGAAGAGATATCTTGCAATGGGCCTCTTTCCCAGAAACAAGCAGAATATTTTATTTCTCAGCAGGTATGTTGATTCTAAACAAAATAAATGATCCATAACATCATTTTCCATCTCTGTGCGTATTATCAAGCATGATGTTTTCTCAACTCTGTTGAAGATTTGTTAATTGTACATTGTGCGTTTAGCTGCTCAGTGTGAGCACCTGGGTTTACAACTGTTTTTTCCAGGCTTGCAGACCATATGGTATTATTTGATTCTGAGAGGGTCAGGTCCTGACCCTGGATCCTCACTCTCCCCACTTGCTGGCATCGAGATATGAGTGTCTGGGCCCTGCAGCCCTTCTCCAGCTGCTGGTGCAGACCCGTTTGCACTTGCCAGCCCATGCACATGCAGCACTGGGTTCTTGCAGCAATTCAGACTTAGGTCCTCAGTGTGGCCAGTAACTGGCCCTTGGATCAGCTTGTTGTGTCACATGCAGATGCACACACATAGATGGTCTCTTGGTCAACCCCAAATCCCATGGCCTCTCCAGCAGCTGGCTGAGACCCCTGGTTGTCTTGCTCACAGAGACACAGGCCTCTCCATCACAGACTTACAGCTGCTTCAATATGTAGCTCCCAAGCCGCTTATCCAACGTGAAGTTCACTGGAATAACACAGTGATGTATGACCAGTCACGCCAACTCAGTTGTTGATGCCACAGACATGTGGACCCCTGTAACCTGTGGTCTGACTCCAGTAGTTTGTACTGTGACCCCCATGCACACAAAGTAGAGCCCTTCACACAGGAAAATACTTAGGAGGGTGGTTAGTGAGAACCAAGAGGGCAGGTTGTGGTGATCTGGCACAGGGCATGGCCAGACGCACGTATCCAGTGCCTTTTATCCTCATATCCCTCTATTTTCACACACTTGCTCCTCCTTCCACCTTGATCCTTGCCTTTCTCCACCTGTGGATCCTCCACTAAACATCCCATAGGATCCTGGACAAGCCCAAAGTGCTCTGCCCCTGGATCCCACAGCATGTCCCAGTGTCCCAAACCTTGGAGGCAACCACTCTTAGTGTGAAAGTTGCTCCAGAGCCACCCGATGGGTGACCCCAGGACACGCACATAATGGGGCTCTGCTTCCCTGCTAGCTTGCAGTTAGTTAACATTGGTTTCAAATTTTATTCCAGGCTTCTTTACTGAAGAATGATGAAACAAAAGCTCTTGCTCCAGCATCTTTACAGAAGGAATTGAACAACTTGTTAAAATTTAATCCAGACTTTGCTGAAGCAGTAAGTATTTCTTTCTTCATGCAGAATGGTTATAAAGGGATTTCTTCATCTCTCTAGGATGGGATTGTTTGGGAGTCATTTATTCTATATTGAAATATAAGCAGATGATAAAAATGTGAGTAAGAAACATGTAAATGTTTAGTAATTCAAACTAAAACTCCGGAAGGTACAGAAACCTTAATTAAGCAAAGTACTTAACCACATGTCTAGCTCTATGCATCGATATAATCCTGCTAACTTTGGTGGGGCTATTGCAATGCATTCTAATTGAACTGAATCTAAAGCTTATTTCTTTTCATGTACTCTTCCTAAGAAATTTTGGACCTTATATTTCCATAATTTAGAAATCGGTATTAGATGAAATCTCTGGTGATTTTTACTTATTGATGCTCACTTCTGATGCTTGGAAGTAGCCTGACAGCAATAGGTAACTCAAATGTGCTGCGAGCGTTTGCCTTGTTCCCAGGGCACTTCCTCTTGAGCTGTTCCCATGAGTTCCCACTAAACTCTCCTGCTTTAGTTTTCCAGGCTTCCTCACAGTTGTCCTTTGGCTAAGACAGACACTTTCCTTGCTCCCATTTGGAGAAGGTTCCTTGAAAGTGCTGCCAGAGGAAGGGCAGGGCTTCATGACTCAAAAGGTCCTTGCTGCTGTTCTGCTTCTAACAGAAAAGGTTGGCCTGTCCTTTCTAATGTCAAGGGCCAAATAGGTACTTTTATCATCCCCCTTCTCAAAAACTTAGTCTTTTAATTGTTCTGTGTGCTTAAGGCTGATTTTGCTTTTGTTTATAGCATTATCTAAGCTACTTAAACAATCTCAGAGTGCAGGATGTCTTCAGTTCAACACACAGCCTGCTCCACTATTTTGACCGTTTAATTCTCACCGGAGCAGAAGGCAAAAGCAACGGGGATGAAGGCTACGGCCGGAGTCTGCGATACGCTGCTCTCAACCTGGCTGCTCTGCACTGTCGGTTTGGCCATTAGTAAGTTAATGCTTTGTACCGTGCATGTAAAATTCATCTTGTTGCAGCTCTCGAGTGCTAATGGATGGACCTTTGATCCATTATGAAAATCTGCTCTGGAGAAGAAGGTACTTCCTCTAATTCAACAACAGTTATAGTTGCGTTGGGCTGGAGTTTTCTTAGAATCTTGATTTGTTTTAGTTATTATGGAAACCAAATAAATGTCAAAAAAAAAAAAAGGAGTAATCCACAGCACCGTAAGAGCTGGCATTTGTCTGTGTCCAGTTGCAACTATTTCCTAGGGAGTTAAGTTCTTAGTTGCTGCATTTCTGGGATCTCAGAAAGGTCAGTGGATGTGGGTGCTTATTTCCAGCTATATTCTCAAAAAAGAACAGTTGTTTTTTGTTGCATTTAAACACTTACAGCTGATGATCTGAAAAAAAGAATAACTAAAAAAAATCTGAGAAATTCAGTATTATTTCTAAAAAGTCATAGGTGTGGGTGTTATTGATAAGTAAGGCTGGCGTAGCTACTTCCATATAAGACTTTCATTTATTAACTTCTGCCTGGAGACATCATGTAGAAGGACTGGAGAGGGAAGGAGATCTGAACAAATTTAAAGAAACAACTTCTCTACATAGGCAGATACTTGGTCTTTCCCCTGTTCAAACTAACTTAACACGTTAGCATGAACATGGGTTTGAAAGCCCATTTAGGGGTACGGTTAGTTTTTCACAATGCTGCCTTGATCACTAGCTGCAAGACCAGAATATACTGCTGAAGTGGTAAAAAGGAAGCACAGGCTTTATTCGATCTATTAAATCAGTTCTTTTCTGAGTGGGATATGCATAATTTAAAGGGGTATGGCTCTGTACCTTTGTAATGCTGTATTTTCAGTGCTCTGGGAAGGTGAATGCATTCCGTGTTTTTGTTTGTCCGTAGCCAGCAGGCCGAACTCGCGCTCCAGGAGGCCATCCGGATTGCCCAGGAGTCTAACGACCACGTGTGCTTGCAGCACTGCCTGGTAAGACAGCCCTGCTGAGAGGGAGGTCATGTCACGTTTGCCCGCGTTAGCTGTGCTCTGGCTCGGGGAAGACCTGCAGAAATACCCTTAGAGTGACAGCAAATGCAGCAGTAACTCAAATACAACTATCCCACAGTGGGATGACAGGTTGTTTCTGACAGATGGTTCAGCTAGAGCAAAAGACTAGAGGGAGATCATGGTAAGGTTTTTGTTATGGCTTGGGATGATTTTCTTAAACAGAAGTTGTGCTCCCAAGATTACTCAGTGCTGAGCTCAGAGTTTAGTCTTAGTCTTTTTTTTTGGTTCCTGCAATTAACAGTGTTGTAATGAATTAGCATCAGTGATATCAAGCTCCTAAGATGACGATTTCCACACTAACTGTAATAGGGTGACCATATATTATTCCGAAACCTCCACACTGACTGCTGTTGAGCCAGTGTGACAGCCTAGCTGGACATTTGATATATTTTTCATGTAGCATTCAATAGAAATTCATTTAGCATCGTATTTGTTCTAAAGAATGGCTTGTGCTTCCACAGTGGACTCTTGTGCATTCCATGCAAAAGTAAAAGAAATAAAAAATGCTGTACAATGCTGAAACCAATATTTGCAATAAGATTTTTAACTTTTTTTTTTTCCTGTTACTAGAGCTGGTTGTACATCTTGGAACAGAAGATATTTGATAGCTGTGTTCTGCTGGAGCACTCTGTAAACAAATCTTTACACTTTGGTTTACCAGTAAGTCCGTTTCACTTTAACCTTATATAGGGGGGTAGAGGGATTGTGGCTTATTTTGGCTAAACAGTTCAAATGTGTAATCGAGTTTAAATCAACCTATTTTACACTACAAAATCTAGCTGTTTGTATCACTTTTAATCTCTATAAGAACAAGCCAGAGTTCCGTTGCTTTAATGTCAGTGCATGATTGCAAAGCTCCCTGCTTTTACTTTTAGCTTGTTTGCTTCTCAGGCAGAGGAATTCTCTGCAGCAGCTGGGCTGGCCCCAGGAGGAGCTTTTAGGCCCATAACGAATCTGCTGGTGCTGAAGGGAGACTCTTGAGCCTCAGTATCTGCCTTCCCTGTAACTCGGTGCTCGTGTCTCTGGCAGGGTTTTGAACACACATTTACTTGTACTGCCCTGTTGCAGCTGTGAAATCTTGTGGGGCAGCCCTCTCCTCCAGTAGTGTTGTGCCCTTGCTTATGTATCACCTGGCTGACAAAGTTTGGTTCTGTCTTCCCCCAAGATCTGCCATCTCTTTGTTAAGAGGACTGATCTAAAAGGAACCAAGTAGTTGATGCTGCGCGATGGAGCGCAGACGTTGTACTGCGTAGAGGGGTGGCTACCTGGTGAGCCCCGAAAATCAGCCTGTGACATAGGTGATCCCATAAAGTGGAGAGAAATAACAGCCGTAGGAAAACTGGGAAGATAATGAAAGAAAGGGATTGCTGCTTATGCAACCAGGGTAATGGCCATTTGTTGGGGAAGGCTCTGTGTTTCCCTAGCTGTTTGATCATTGGAGAAATCCAGATGAAAGTCACACAGAATCACAGAAGGGTTGAGGTTGGAAGGGACCTCTAGAGAGCATCGAGTCCAGGCCCTGCTCCAGCAGGGACACCCAGAGCACGGGCACAGGGCGGCATCCAGGCAGGTTTTGAAGATCTCCAGAGAAGGAGCCTCCACAGCCTCTCTGGGCAGCCTGTGCCAGGGCTCTGTCACCCTCACAGGAAAGTTCTTCCTCACATGGAGATGGAACTTCCTGTGTTTCAATTTGTACCCATTACCCCTTGTCCTGTCATTGGCCACCACCAAGAAGAGCTTGGCCTCATCCTCTTCACATTCTCCCCTCAGGTACTTGAACATGTTGATCAGATCTCCTCTCAATCTTCTTTTCTCCAGGCTGAACAGGCCCCGCTCACTTAGGCCTCCCTCATACGATAGATGCTCCAGTCCCTTCATCATGAGTCATGTCATCTTCTTTAAGACTCCTCTGCGGGGGAGTGGAAGCTACTTTTCACATTTAGCATTCATGTGGCATTCATGTATGTGTGGGTGTGGAAGTGCATATTTAAAGAAATCGCTGGAGCAGTGTTCTTTTGTCTGTGCTGAATAGCATCATATTTTTATTAGGAACTTTTTTTCTTGGTTTATACCTCTTGCTGTGATGTAATTCACGAGTGCAGTGTGCTCTCTTGTATTTCAGTGTTGGCTTTTTTCCCCCCTTCTCCCCAGTACCTTGCCTCCCTGGGAATACAGTCCTTGGTCCAACAAAGAGCTTTTGCAGGAAAGGCTGCCAACAAGCTAATGGATGCCTTGAAAGATTCGGATCTGTTGCACTGGAAACACAGCTTGTCGGAGCTCGTTGATATTAGCATAGCACAGAAAACTGCCATTTGGAGGTTGTATGGCCGCAGGTATTTGTTCTTTGGAACTCTTGCATTAGCTCACTCTACTTGTTAGCAGGTAATGCACTTCGAGTTATTTATATAGGTGTAACAAGTGACTGTGTCACTTCAGTGTACTGAAGTAAAGCATTCAGACTGTGTGATCCAGTAAATGCTGGATGCAGTTATTTCCATGCTCTTAGGTTCATTTAAAACTCCTGCAGGAGAAGACATCATGTTTCCATTTAGTAGTGGCAAGCAGTGCCTAAATGCAATATTCTTATGCCCCCATTTTCAGCATATCTGTACTTAAACTATGTGCAGCTTTCAGGACGTTGTACACGCTTGCCTAGTCTAGAGTTCCTGGGTGGCAGTTATTTCACAATTTTCATTCTCCCAGGCTTACCAGAAAAAATCCGTAGACCACTGTTGTAACCAGACCATAGATTAAAAGCAGTTGGTGTTTGTCACTTGAAAGCTGAAGGGTGTTTCTCTCCCCGAAGCACCATGGCCCTTCAGCAAGCGCAGACCTTGCTGAGCATGAACAGCCTGGAGGCTGTGAACGTGGGCGTCCAGCAGAACAACACCGAGTCCTTCGCCGTGGTGCTGTGCCACCTGACCGAGCTGCACGCCGAGCAGGTGAGTCCTGTGGCTGCTTGCACAAAATATCACTGGTGTGTGGGCGTTACTGCCATGGCGAGGCTGGAGTCGTGCCGTGCTCTACCTTTAATCTCTGCATTGCAGGGAAAGAAAATAGAGGGCTTTTGCCTGGCCTGTTCCCCTCCTTCCACGAGGGTTGTGGTGAAATCCAGGGGAACGGCGCTCGCCTCCGTGCGCGCTGTGTTACAGGTTGCTCTGTGTTTCTGTGTTACAGGGATACTTTGCTGCTGCTTCTGAAATACTGAAGCATCTAAAGGAAAGATTTCCTCCCCACAGTCAGCATGCACAGGTAAAATATATGTAATTTAGCCTGTAAATTATGCAATTGTGTTACAATAGAACCTAAATTTCATTGCAGCTTAATTCATACCTTTCCTCTGTATGCCTGGGGCTATATTTGCTATTTTCAGTTGGCTCCTGATCCCACAGGAAGCCATGTGGTGTATACCTTTGTACAAAAGCATGAAAAGATTGCCTCTGTTGTTTTAAGACTGCTGAGACAATTATCTCACCATACCTCCTAAAAAAAAAAAAAAAAACACAACAAACAGTCCATTTAAATAGAACTGTACTTAACCAGAGAAGTATACATCTCCTTCAGGAGCACGCACATGAGTTAAATGCTCTACACTGATCTGGAGCCTGTGTAGTGAGTGCTAGTTACTTTGATATATTCCAGAAATAATTGAGAGAAGAAGACATTAATTGTGTGACTGGGAAATACATTAATGTATGAGTCTATAAGATAGTGTTTACATGAAAGTGATGTAGATTCCATTACATTTAGTTTAGTCCTTCTATTTTTACTATAAACAAGTCTATTATTTCAAAGCATTAGTAGTGGTTTAAAAGAGCTTTTTTACTTAAGATGCAGTCAAATAGGTCAGCTGCAGTATTGAAACATTACTCTGGATCTCTCTGCTGAAGGACAGGGATTTAGCAAATCCTGTAACTGGAGAGCTCGTCAAACACGCAAGCATGAATTTGATTGTTTTGGGATGTAAATATCCTCAGGGAAAAATCAAATTTAAGTTTGAATTTAAGGTTAGAAAATGACCGTGCCCAATTTCTTAGACTTATTCCTGGGTGTTCTTTGTTTAGCTTTGGATGCTGTTTGATCAGAAAATACAGTTTGAGAGAGCCATGAATGACGGCAGGTATCATATAGCAGATTCTCTTGTAGCTGGGATTACAGCACTTAATAGCATTGAAGGAGTGTACAGGTAAGAAATCTTGAATCTGCAAAATAAACTTAGAGTTTATCCCATTAAGATAATTAAACATTTAGTAAAATGATTGCTGGCAGTCGCATGTATTTACATGCTCATCTGTTTCCAGTATTAATTTAGGTAGTGTTGTCTAACCTGTAATAATGACTCTATTAAGAGCATGTCCTGCAGTCATCCATTCTAGTTGTTTTTTAAGGTCAGTTGATTTTTAAGGTCAGAATGGCACTGTACAAATTTGTGTTATTTTGGGACTGTAGATCTGCAGAATACTTCTTCAAAATCTTCTCCTGAAAATGTGCACAATGAAGAATTTCATATAAAACAGCTGGGGACCTAGGGCCCAGTTGCAACTCTGCTACCATTAGAGCTTGAACATGACTTTATTTCTGTCCTTGTTTCTACATTTACAGAATAGGACAATATAGATGTACTTATCTCATCTTAATGTGCTCTGTTTTCTAAATGAAAATGATGTGTTAGAAATAGATGGGCTTAAAACTTGTCATTTGTTTATGAGTAACAATTTATTGTTTTAAGCTATCTCTTGTTAATTTTCAATGGGGCAAAAGGCTTAAAAACCCAGCCAGTACCATAGACAGGAAGACAAGTATTCAAGCTGCAGGACCTCATGTTTTTCCTTCTGGAACTGGACTAACTGTGATTTCCCTGACCTTTAAATACACTGCTCAGTGTATGTTTTTAGCCTGTCTCCTGCTGCTATGTGTTTGTTGCTTATTTCTCTGTCCCTGCTCTTTTCCTGGCCCTCCATGTCCGTGTGAGCTCATGCCAGTTTTAGCCAGCATGCCTGGTTTCCTTGCACAAATAATTGCTGGTGCTTCCCAGCTTGCATGTCCTCCTGCTGCTGCTGCTTGTTTGCCCTTTGTTTTTGGCAACCCTTGTTTTCCAGCTAGGGCCATTTTATGAGTTTGATCCTTTCTGCCAGGGAGTTCTCTAGTGTTCCGAGATGCCCAATTCTCCCCACAGTGTATAGCATACATACTTTGTTACAGTTTTATGAAACAAAGTTCACAAAATAAAGGCCCATTTTACTGCGCTGTCAAGAGTACAAATGTGTCTGAGATGTAAACAGAGGATCAATGACTTTCTGTTTTACCCTGGCAGAAAAGCTCTTGTTTTGAAAGCCCAAAACCAAATGTCAGAGGCGCACAAACTTTTGCAGAAACTGTTGATCCACTGCCAGAAAATCAGGAACACTGAGATGGTGATTAGGTAAGAATGAATCATTTGCAGAATATTCAAACCACTGGGCAGCAATTAAAATCAACTGCTTCAGTCTGTCTGTGTGCAGACTTAATTAGTTTTCAGATTACCTGCTATAGAGATAACATAATTTCATTTATTAAAGATGGTATGGGATAATCGTTTGACACTTGCTCATTGTAGCAAGGGAGGAAAATAGCAGACATTTTTTTAATCAAAAGATACAGGCTTATCATTATTTCTGCCTCTTTTGGCAGCGTTCTTCTCTCAATAGCAGAGCTCTACTGGAGGTCTTCGTGCCACACGATAGCTTTGCCCGTCCTGCTGCAGGCGCTTGCCCTCTCTCGACAGTACAGCCTGCAGTACTTGGCTTCTGAAACTGTGCTCAACTTGGCCTTCTCCCAGGTATGTTTGGCTTGTGCTTTCACAGGACAGTAGGGCAATGTTTATGCCAGAGATCTGTATCCTGGTTTTACTCCTGTTAGGTTTAAGAACATAACCTTGCTGCAGTTCAGTCATTGGTTCCAAAGAAACATGCTCTAAATATAAAGCCTTTTGAGGAAGTTAATAAAAGCTGCTTATTTGCTGTGTAAATCAGCAAGATCTGTGGTTATTCAGCATAATTAAGCAGGCGAGTGTAAATTGGCCCTGCCTTCATTTCTCCAGTTGGTATTTCTCATGCTAATTTTTTGGCTTTCTAGTAGTATGGTTTGACATGTGCTTGAATTAAAAATAACCCTCGTAATGGAGTTCAGTTGTATTGTTTATTCTTAGCTGGCAGAGTCCTGATTGTCAGCACTGACTGGAGTGGAGGAAACCGTGCCTAATAACTTCAAATGGTAGCTCATTTCTACTAATACATTTTGATTTAAAAGAAGATTGGGGGGAGAAAAAAAAATACATCCTCGTCTGGAGCATTGCTTTATGAAAAACAGATGCAGCTTATGTTGGTCTTCCCAGGAGAAGCTGCACTCGCCAGCGTGTTGCAGTATGAGAGCTACGATGTGTTTCTCTTTCAGCTGATCCTTGGGATTCCTGAGCAAGCTCTGAATATTCTGCATATGGCGATAGAGCCCGTCTTGGCCCACGGAGCTATGCTGGACAAGGGCTGTGCCATGTTCTTGGTGGCCAAATGCCAGGTGGCTTCTGCAGCTTCCTACACTCCACAAAAGAAGGTTGAAGGTAGCGTGAAGAGCTCTCCCTCTTTGCACCCCATTCACAAGTTGGGGACCACAAACCAGTGGGTTCGTTGGAGCCCTGCTAGAACAGACACCCCCTTCCCTCTGCTCACCATTAGTAACATTAAAATGTTACTAAATCGTGTTACGTAGTTATCAAATAGGCAAATTAAGTTGGAAATAGCTGTTCGGGTTGAACAGATTTGGTAGGCATCATGGAACCGTGTTTATCTGCATTCTTTCATGCCCATATTTTGCAGCCAAGGTTGAGTAACAGACTAGCTGAAAGAGCCTGTTGCTAAGACACAAAGTGTTCTTAAAGGCTGAGGAATGTGTATTTGGACTCCTTAGAACGGGGCTATATTGCTTAAATTATTATTGTGATGATATCTTAAAACTGTCTGTCTGTTCCTCCCCAACCTTCTCTGTTTGCGGCAGCTTTGGAATCAGCTATTTTGAATCTAAATGAAGCTAAGACGTATTTTGCCAAAGTGGATTGCAAAGAGCAGCTCAGAGATGTTCTCTACTTTCAAGCCAGACTGTTCCACACTCTAGGCAAGACCCAGGAGAGGAACAAATGTGCGATGCTCTTCCAACAGTTGCACCAGGAGCTGCCTGCACATGGTGTGCCCTTAATAAATGCCTTTAAGTGACACATTTTAAGGATGAATTTTGCTTTCCTGTTTTGTTAACTGTCTTCTTATTGTATTTAGTCATCAGTGTTTCAAAATAATTGTCCATAAATTATGGTCTTCTACTGAACAAACTTGTGTTTTTTGCTTGTAAAGATTTAGGAGGAAATACAAGTTTCCACGACTTTCACTTTGTTCCATACTAGAAATTAAGAATAAGAATTGAGTGGGGAAAAACAGTGCTCTAAGGACTGTGTTATAGGCACATTGAGAGAGAGTTGCAAAGTCATGATAATGAAAAAAATAAATCAATTTCTGCTCTTAGAAATGGCACTTTCTGTCTTGATGCTGGCTTAAGTTACCACAGGATAGGGCACAAAACACTAGTGGAAACTGTAGGCAACTCTCCTGTGTGCTAATTTTAAATAGTGTGGAATGGGGATTCGCATTTAAAACACGTCCTTGCATTTAACCTGTCTACAGTGGCTGTTTACACTGCTGAAACAGATGGTGCTGGCAGAAGGGGAGGAAAACAGGATCCTTTTGGAAAGGTCTAATGGTGCAAAGTCCCAGCCCTGCTGTGTTAGTCCTTGTGCAAAAAGCAGCTGGAAAAAAGCAAAGTGGACTAAGGTTCACTTGGCTGCAACGAGAGCACTGGGTCAAGTGAACTATTTTGTGTGCTTTTTTGTAGGCAGTGTGCACGATTTCCCTGCTCTGTTTCTATCTGTGAATAAACGAGGACAACAAGTAACTGCACGCCATTGACTCATAGCAATTAGAGCCTTGTTTTGGCAGGTAAATTTGTTTTAGTTGTCAGGTGGGATCGCACCACTGAGGCCGGGAAGGTGCAGGCGCGAGGTGGGAGGCAGCGCTGGCCCTCGCGCACGCTGCGCTCAGGGCCTTTCTGCTCTCTGCTTTACAAGAGCTAAATATCATTAGTGCAAACTCCTCATGATATCCTGGCAGGAAGCGCTAGATGAGATTGTGGCACTGCTGGCAAAGAGAAAGTGAGCTTAGAAGTCGATCTTAACCGTCTCTGCTGGAGCTCTGCCAGGCCAGGCAGGAAGAGATAAGTGTTAAAATGTGATGGGAATAGGGATAATCCATTGCTAGTTTACACATCCCTTTAATTAATGTTGCTGTGCGGCTGTTACAAACCAAAGCCCTGGTTATCTGCTAAAACCCCAGTTTATTTTGCGTGTTTGGGAACAAACATGCAGGCTCCCAGCAGCTTTTTCAGGAGCTCTGGGTTCAGCCATGCCCCATATGCTCCCTTACTTGGACCCCGGGAAAGCTCTTAGTTCTATGCATAAAGCATTTGCAGCACCTGCTATTGGCATTAATGGCATCTTCGCATTAATATCATAGTTTGCATTATTGCGAAGCTGAGCGCTAGGGTGGCTTTGGAGATGCTGGTGGAAAGGGCAGCGTTGGGCGCGGAGGCTCCCGGGGCTCCTGCACCGGCTCTCACAGCAGCGGGACAAGGGGCCCCGCGGAGCCCCGGGCGCTTCAGCGCGGACGGGGCGCTCAGATCCGTCTCTCGCCCCAGTTCCAGGATGGGTGCGAGGAGGAGGATGCCGGCGGGACGAGGCACCCCATAGGAGCAGGTGATCGAGTAACCGGAGCAGCGCGGGAGTGAGCGGCCTCCTCGGCCGCAGCGGGGCCGCGCTGGGTCCCCGTTCACAGGGAGCCGCTC